TATATTTGAATAAAAAAAAAAAAAACGAAAAAACTAAATCATAGGAAATTATTTTTACATGGAATGAGGATACTTAAAAGCAAAAATAAAAATCCGAAAATAATTTATTAGTTTCATATATTTTATATTCTACTTCATCTAATATTAATTCTATATCTGCGAGAGATGCACCATATAGTAATTTTGCCTGGTCCCGGATAATCGAATACCCAGCAAGACCACTACGGCTAATGGTTCATGGCTTACATTAAATACTAGCCACGTTGGTAAGGGTGGTATTCCATAGAAATCTCGCCAGACTTGAACCATTAATCGTAGTGGTTTTGCCGTGTATTTGGAATAGCTATTGCCTGTTATTCATTATCCGGTAGATACCTACATGGTGAATTCACTATTCGGTGCATCTTCAGTCCATACCACTTGGCCAGCGTTGCTTCCTACAGGCTACATTCATACGAGAGGATCGTATTGTTTAGATTTCAAAAATATCCTCAATTTATTGATTTTAATAGGCTATAAGCAATCAAATAAGTAATGTAACAACCTATTAAGAAAAATCAAATTATATCAGTCTTTGGAATAACGCGGATAAACGCTGACCTTCCTGTGTGTTTAGACGCGCGAATCGATAACTTAGGTGTATTAGTATTTAACTTAGGTATTAGTATTTACGGCTAGTTCTGTACTGTTGAGGTAAGTATAATAATATTAATTAACGCGATAATTTCCAAATCTGTGCTTGGTCGAAAACAATCTTCAATTTAACTTTTGTAACAAAAATAATCACAACGTTCTCATTAACTGATAATAGCACAAGTTCCAGATCCCAGTCCTAAAAAGTATTTATAAATTGCCTTATGTTCTATTCCTACCTCCAAAGTCCGTGGGATTTTTGAAATTTTGTAAAATAGTCGGCGACTACAAAAAAATTAAGAAATGTAAAGGTGATACCCGAAAAAGTGATTTTTTTCAAAATGTTACTTTACACATTTGAGGTCACAAATGAGATCCACTGTACCTTTAAGCCACAGATAGTTTTACGTAAAATGAGTGACAGGTAATACAATATCTACATATGTATGTTGGTACCTATAACCCATTATATAGGTGCATTTAGGTACCTTTATACCTATACACACAAGTATTATGCTTAAAGCACAATTTTTCATTTGAGATGTAAGGTTTATATCTATAATTCATACTTTAGCATTAATACACAGTTGAATTCGTTGTAGATAACTCAACATCTACAATGTAATTAAATGTATTTAAGAAACCTAATCGTTGACGCTGGAAATATGATTTCTTCACTCATTACAAATACATTAGACAATAAAACTAGTTTTTAAGTGAAGTCATATTAAAAAACTTGTAATATCACTAACAATTTGATTGGTTAATCCAACGTTCAAACTCACCAATTTAATAACGAGAAAGGTGAGATCATCATTAACCGTCGTTTTCTGTTCAACTTTTAGTAGATTTAAATGCTTCTAGCTTCTTTAACATATAAACCATAAGACTCCCTTTATTACATTCTTCCACAAAAAATGATAAGTATCATCAGCGATTTCAAATAAACTTTATTAAATAATTAGTTTTGAAATTATTTGTTTACATTTATTTCAGAATAGATACATACACACATATACACTTAATATGTGTATACATGGCAAACGCCATATTGTTTAGGTACGATAAACTGTTACATTAAACGGAGAAAACACAAAAAAGCAAAGATATCCAAACGGCACTTTAACAAATAAATATAGAGAAAAATTCCATAGCAATATTCAGAAAGAATTATAGAAAAAAAACTTACATAGTAGCTTCTGTGTATTCCCCGTTCGTAATTTGATGATAACCTGCCATATCACAAAGTGGCCCTCGTGGGCCCACGGAAATGAAAATAATGTAGCCGTTTTTACGAGTTTAATCAAATAACAATTCAACATTAAAGAACTCCGAATGGCACGGTAACAGCTGCGTTAAAACTGAACTACTCAAAAATCTAACCTCACAACAGATGCACACAAATACTGCGCGCCCTTGCCGAATAAGCCGAACACTTATTCGGATATTCCGAATAATTACGATGTTACCCACTACCAAGTAACCATGGATACCACAGACAAGAGAGATGGATACTACAAATACCAAATCATATTTGAAGTTTAACGAATTTGATCAGTGCCATCCAGCGGCCAATAGCGATGATTGCGATACTCAACAATCTCTAGAAGTTGCCAAAATAATTTGTGTACTGGAACGATACATGTCAACTTTATTATTTTGAATAAAATGGTATATTATTTACGACGAATTCGTATGAAACACAAGATTTTAAGGTAACTTTGATTACAAACTTGTGTGCCTACGATGAATTGTTTTTGAGATAATTTAATTTATAGAAAAAAATCGCTACAACTCAAATTATAACAAATCATAACTTCCACAAAACATGACTTAGAGTATTAAAATTTTTACTAGTTTTAGTCGTGTCTTATAGCTAATTTTAAATCAAAATTGAGCTTCATAAGCTTAAAAAATTTAAATACGAATAAATTCGTTTTTTCAAATAGCACCTACTATATTTTATATTATTACTTATATTATTATTCGATTCCTCTTTTTATGCTTTTACCAGGATCAGAAGATGATAAAAAGTGGAATCGAATGATAAATTAAAATGTGATAGGTGTCGTTCGAAAAAATAAAGTCGTGTTTGCAGTTTTTAAATTTCAGTTTTTTTTTTCTGGACGCTCAGTACAAAATATGCAGCTCTAATTTGGTTTAACACTAGTCATAAGATACGACTATAAGTAGTAAAAATTTCAAGACTGCAAATTATTTTTTGTGGAACTTATGATGTCTTATAATTTAGGTTGCGATAGCGATTTTTTTTCTATAAATTAAATTATCTAAGAAACTATTCACCGTAGGCATACAAGTTAGTTACCTTAAAAGTTTGTGTTTCATACGAATTCGTCATAAAAAATAAATCATTCCGTTTAAAATAACAAAGTTGGCATCAACTTCCATTATATGAGGAAGAGGCCGACAGTTGAAATGATTTTAGTTAAAACTATTAGTTCTTTCCCTCTATCAGTCACTGTGAGCTCGAAACTGTTAGCACCATTGCTTCGAGTGGCCAAAATTCATTTTTGTGGACAATTTGTTTATTTACATTCTTTGTGTTAAAAATAGTTTGAAAAATTAAATTTAAAGGAATTATTTGTAAATAGGTATGCAACACATCGTACACTTCAGCATAAGAAATTGCTGATACTAACTACGTAATACTACTTTGCCCTGTGCTGACCACTCATAATTTCTTTTATATAAAATATTAGTTATTCTACATAACCCCTACTACCAAATTTTCAAATCTCTTACATGCTTAGTTTCCCTAAAACGTCTAATGTACTACTCAGTTTGAAGAAGTATATAATAAATATTTGTGCGCTCAAATTACATCCCTGTTTTACACCGCTATTTGTCCAAAATTTTCCTTATTTTTTACCATTAACCCTCACCACTACTGCTGTCTCATTATATATTTCAATTATTTTATTTATTAAATCCCTTTTTAACCCTACTTTATTAACATATTCGCACTTCCTTTCTTACCCCCTTATCTTACGCTATTTTAAGTCTACAAACATAAATGTACTCTTTCCATTCATTTGCAAACTATTTTTAACATATCGTCGCAAGCGTATAGGTCGACCAACATAAACGGTGACAAAGACCAGGTTTCTGGATGGCATACACTGGATCTTTCTAGAAACACGGCCAGCTTCTATAAATAATTGTCGCGAGATCCAGAGAGTTACTACGAGTCTGAGAGTTCGAGGCGACACAAAGCGAGGAAGAAGGAACGAAGAAGTGACAAAGTCTATATAGTGGTAAATTGATAACTGTTTAATAATAAAAGTGCTAATTAGACAGCAAATTTTTAAATAAATGTAGTAATAGTACGAGAAGGTGTTTAAATGCATGACATTTGGTGTGGGGTAGAAGAAGATTGGAGGAGGAGAATTTCATCGAATATTCCAAAGCGTTCATCAGCCAACTTTCTGGAAATTTCCATCAGTTGCAAGAAACCTTAGTAGTGATATATCGTTGGAAAGCTCTTGAAGAAAGAGAAACAAAGAAAGAAATGAAAAAGTGCCAGGAAGAAATGAAGCAAGAATTAAAATCAGTGCAAGACGACATAAAAATTGGACAAGAAGAAATGAAAAAAGAAGTAAAAAACCTACAAGAAGCAATAAATACGAGAATGGAGGAAAAGATAAATGATATTAGAAACGAAATAGAAAAGAAAGCTGAAGAGAGGAAAATCAATACGAGAAAGATGAAGCTTACTACCTACAAGGCGATCGTAGAGGAAGATCGAGTACCATCGAGTTACTCCGAGGGCACTGTAAAAGTTGGAATTGGCGTCGAACCAGACAAGCAAGATTTGATACAGAAAGCATTATTGGTAGGACGTACGTTAGTAAAGAAATGCAACACTATCGATACCTGTTAGAATAGTCAATTTCAAACAATAGAGAGAACTTTTTGACCGTTTTCAATTCGTCTTCGCTCTGTTATATCAAGACTTTGGTAGAATCAGCTTAACATACCACCGTATCAACACTGGAACAGCAGGGCCCACCAAACAACCACCTAGAAGAGTTCCTTGGGGAAACAATAAGAAGTCAATGACCTCATAAAAGACATTCACAAGCACGGTGTAACGGAACCATTACAATGTTCTTCGGTTTCCTCTGCTATACTGGTGCGCAAGAAGGATGTTTCCACGAGGTTTGGTGAGGACTATATGAAGTTGACGCAACGTTGAAGGTCAGCTACACATTACACCGAATCGACAACACACTAAACAATCTAGTTGAAGCTAAAGGGTTATCTGCTGTTGATTTGAAAAGTGGATACTGGCAAGTGGATATGTATCCGCAGGAAAAGGAGAAGACTGCCTTTATAACTGAAAATGGTCTATGACAGTTCGATATGACGCCTTTTGGTGTTTGATTTACCTAGACGACATCATCATACTAAGAAGAACTTTCGACGACCGCCTCAGAAACATGACTGAAGTCTTCAAGAAATTGTCAGCTGCAAGATAGAAGCTAAGTCCCAAGAAATGCATCCTGTTCAGTTTGTTCTAACACGAACTTAGAAGTTTTCTGGGACTTTACTCCTACACAGACTTATAGAAGATGGAGTTTCATTCCACTGGACACCTGAATGTAAAAAAGCATCTGAACTATCTGGAGACCCAATCCTGACGTACCCACAGTTGAGCGAACCCTTCATTGTTGACGTCGACGCTAGTAATGTGGGGCTGGTGGTGTGTTATGCAAAGTACAAAATGGAAAGGAAAAGGTCGTCGGGTTCTTTTTTAAAACACTCTCGAAAATAGAACGAAGTAAATATTTAAACAAAAGAAGTGCAAGAAGGTGTTTCAATACGTGACAATATAGTCTAATCAACAAGAGCCATCTGGTCCAATTCGGGGCTGAATTCACCTAAAATTGCGAACAGGGCGTCACTCGATTCGCAATAATATCTAGAATGATTAAAAAAAACCATGTGTGGCTGATGAAAATTAGAAAAGTTAGAAACAATTTAGTAAGAAAAAGGCGGTTCAATTTTTTTCAAATATCTCAACAACTATTTTAAATATCGGAAATCGGATTCTTAAAGATTATAATTCTAATTGAGACATGAAAATAGGGCTTGACAACGGGTGATTCGGCTCCCACGCGTGCCGATTGATATCGAATTTTGAACAAATAATTTTTTTTAACCCATTAAATATGATTACCGAGAAAAGAAAAAATTCGGGTACTTGCTGGATATTTAAACAAACGATAATCCGTCGGCAAAAAATTTTTACCCCAATTTTCCATTAACTATGATTTTATTAATTTTTGAAATAAACGTCTGGAATTTCTTTTACTTCTGGAAGCTACTCCTAGAAGTATTTAAAGATGGATATCGTTGGAGAATTTAAAAAATTTTGATTTTCCATTCTTTTATTAACAAAGATACGGAAAAATTCAAAATAATGTAATGATATTTTTATTAATGTCCCTATTGTTTTGCTTGCGTTTTGCTAAAAGCTATATGAATTTTTTTTTTTAGTTTATATCTACTCGTTTACGATTACATTACTAAATATTTTTTTTTGATTTTCTTATAAACAAATAGGATTAAATACATTACTTTCATATAGATTTTAGCAATACATAAACAAAACAATAGGAAGATTAAGTTGTTTTTAAATTATCCAACGAATACTTTAAAGAGTAATATTAACTTGAAATCATTTTTTCGATTTTTTATTAACCACTACAAACTACTTCAAATTAATGAGGAAAAAAATTGTTGCTGTTGTCACATCCCCACATGAGGTAGTTTGTAGTGGTTAATAAAATATTGAAAAAATGATTTCAAATTAATATTGCATAATAATCCACTATTATATAACAAACAATGTCATAGGATTTCATATCTTTAAAGAGTAGTTCCCAGAATTTAAAAAATTCCATAGATTTATTTTAAAAATTATTGGGGTTTTCTGTTGTTTTCTAGATTGGAAAAAATTTTTAATTAACGAAAGCATAGTTAATGGAAGGATTGGAGTAGAAATTTTTTGCCGACGGATTATTGTTTGTTTAAATATCCAGAAATACCCGAATTTTTTCCTTAATATTTATATTTAATGGGTTAAAAAAATTTTTTTGTTTAATATTCGGAATCAGCACGCGTGGGAGCCGAATCAATCGTTTTCAAGCAATATTTTCATCTCTCAATTAGAATTATAATTGTTAATGGTACAATTCAGCGAGGTGGGATTCCTTTTTAGGAAATTTCTTGCTCTTTAAGAATTGAATTTCCGATATTTGAAATAGTTAATGAGATATTTGCAAAAAATTGAACCCCTTTTTTTACTAAATTGTTTATAACTTTTCAAATTTTCATTAGCCACACATGATTTTTTTTAGAAATCATTGTAGATGTTATTACGAATCGAATGACGCCTTTTTCACAATTTTAGACGAGTTCAGTCCCGAATTCGACCAAATGGCACTTGCTGACTATAGACTATATTTTCGTGTATATTTTATATCCCGTGCTCACAATTACAACATCTCTGTAAGTTTCTATGCAGTCTTTTGCCCTCTTTTAAATACCTGACCTATCGCCCCACACCACCGTTCTTCAGGCAACCCATTCCCCTCCTACATCTTTATAATTTTGTATAAATTCCCTCCCATAATGTCTTTAGCATACTTATATGTCTCCCCACGGATCCCATCCAGTCCTTCAGCTTTCTTCATTTTATGCCTTCTATCACTCCGTCTGTATCGAAGAAGCGAATTATATATATTTATTTGGGGATATAACTACTTTAATATGATATTGCAAGTTAATTATACAATTTAGAATGAGTAGTCACCAACTTAATTAAAATTATGTAGGAAATTTTCTTTATCAGGGCTCATTAAAGAAAAACACTTCATGAGCTAATCGCTTTATTACCACTGATTATTCAAGGTCATGCGTCTAGCCGAACCAACCAAGAATGTCCCTTTTTTATACACATTAGTTTATTGATACCTATTCCCACATGGATCAAGTGTCTCTTATGTTTATGACTCGTGTTGTTGTTGGACATTCGTTTCTTAAATGTAGGTAATAACTTTATCTAGATCTACGACCGACAGTGACAGGCTGTTTTTATTCTAAGACTCAAGCTACCCCGTTGGTTTCAATTTCCATTGTTTGTATTAACATTTATCAATTTTATCTTTTATATAACTTTAAATTTAATTTATTAATCTCTAACAAAATCTCTAACAATTAATTAATTATTTAATAATACAATAATAATCTTAGCCTACCTTACTAGATTTTTCAGGAACGTAGAAATCACAGGGAACTATCACAGGGTGATTGAAAACGGTAATCCGTCTTACCACCCTGCATCTTCACGATCTTGAATTCGACTGGCGACTCTCGACAACTTAATTATCATTAATTATAATTATTGATTTCGCTACTTAAAAGGTTACATGTACCAACTTTGTATCAGTGGCCCAAATAACTCTCCTATAACTCTCTCCTCACTTCCTTCCAGAACTCTTTTAAAATGATTATCCATTCTATTTCTTCAATCTTCCCACTCACCTACCCCTTAGTATTTTTCCTATATCTATTCATTCTTGTCCAAAACCCTTCTGTACCTCTCGTCTCCCTTAATACTTTTATTAGTCTATCACTGTATTCCTCCATGCTTTTTTAATTTGCTTTCTATATTTATACCGCTTCTTTCTATACTCTTCCTATTCACACTCATCTCTTCTCCATCTCTCCATCTATTCAAGTAGTTTTATACCTTTCTCTTTTATTCTAACAATTATTATTCCACCATTGCTCCTTCCTTTCAGTCATCATTATTCTCCTAACAATCGTACATTCTCTCATCACTTTAATCATACCTTCCCACTCACCTAACCTTTCAATTATTTCCCCACTTTTTTCATAAACTCTCCAATTGCTCTCTTCATCCCCACTCATGCATTTTCTTATATCCCCCCCTCACTCCCTCTTCTTTTCTTTCCAACGGCAGGTTTGAGCCTTTCATTTATTTTACCTGAAATTACATTATTCCATCCCAACCCTTTCCATTTACCATAGCGTAATACATATGACCGACTTAGCCCTCCCGATGAACGTATATTCCCAATTACAATCCCTCTACGCCTTTTCATTAAGTATACTTTGTTGTTTTCGTTATTTTTTAAAACTAGCTGACCCTTTAAACACACATAAAATGTACACATACTCATGTACATACAAAAATTCATACCTGATTATAAAAATATAAAAATCATCCAGAAACACCCAGAAAATTAAATAAACTTATTAAAATAGTAGACCGTTGCAATCGCTACGAATTCAAGGTCGACGTCTTGACGCACCCTTAACATTAAGAACCAATGACCTATATCTTTACATGTCAAAAATGAAAATGAAATAAAAATAAAATGTGCATTATTAACTTTACCATGCTCACTACAGAAAAAGACTAAATAAATCAATGCTATTCAAATGAAATTGGTGATCCTGAATTCATAGAGGTCCCCACTATTTTATGAAAATATTGGCACAACTTTTACATACAGACCTTACACTGCTCATCTACAATTTTCATGATATAACAAGAACAACATTAATATTGCAGTTTGTGAATTCAGATTCAAATATTACATTTCAAGTTATAATGAACCGCATGTATAATACATATTTATTCAAGAGATTAGTAGTACTTTTCGCTGTAGTATGTAAATAAAAACATAATTAAAAACAATAAATATCAAACCGTCCTGATAATGAATTTACAATGCAATCAACCTACAACTTCATTTAAATTTTAATTGTGTTTCCAAAGACGCCGATTGTTTCTACCGTTATGTAATCGAATTAATCTGAGTTAATTCTATAAGTGATCAGACTGCATTTCAAGGGATTAGGGAAGTCCTATGCAACACTGTAAGTGCCGTTGAAGAGTGAAATGTACGCATGAAAAAAAAAAAAATTGAGGTGAAGAAGCTGCAGAGAAGCTCCCTTGTTTCTTTTTGCTATTTTAGATGACGTTATCCAATTTTTTGTTACTTTTTTCCGCACTTTTCTTAAACTAAATCCCTATTCAATCGATAATATGTTGTTCTTTCTTTTAAAAGCTTACTTTTTATTATGGTGCTAAAACGCCAAGTCACCAACGTTTTTACAATAAAATACTGCCCAAATTGCTTCCGGTTCAATAAGTGATCTAAGTGAGAAAATTTATCTATAGCCCCATTAATCGCTATACCATATGGTTTGAGTTAGTCGTAAGAATCCGTATGTCGTAGGTATAAATTAGAAGAATACATATTTCTTCCTTTAAGGGCTGTTTCTTTTAAGAATCCCCTTTAATGTGCTTTTAAGCATAGGAGGCTTACACTTATTTCAGTACTACATACGAATTACGTAAATTAATTCCGAATCGCGATCGCTAATTACTTCTGGCAAAACATTTAACAAACTCAATATTACTTAGTTAAGAAAGGGTTTTTACAACCTCTCATTATAATGTCATTTTTTTTTTAAGTTAGACTGACCGATTAGTAGTCGAAATTAACATTTATTTCTTTAGTTACAACTCCAATCAGGGGACACCAATTCATCAAAATTAGGGACTTATAATTTTAAAAATAACAACAAAAATTAACATTTCCTTAAACTAATAAATAAAACGTCAATTTATAATACTTAACTTTAATGAACAATATTCAATTAATATTGAAATACATGAACGTGCACTTCAACTTTGGAATTTTTTTTATTTTGTTTAGGAAAATAACACTTGTTTTTTAATGGAAACAATACAAAAATTAAAAAAGCAATAAAGTAACAATAATTTCTTGTATACAAGGCATTAAATACATACGAACTATAAATTTCTGTATTTAGCATCTCTAAATAAGAAAATTTTATCACCATGATTTGAGATTCCTATCAACAAAATTAACAAAAATAAGAATGCATTCTAATTTAAATTCGATAACGAATAATAAAATGACACATTTTCAAAGTGGTTGTTATTAAACATGCGAATCTAAATTAAACACTACAAATACCAAGTAATATAGGTATATAAATAAAAACGTAAATAATTAAGACCAAAATACTCAGTAATTGATTTTATAATATTTAACATACCTAAATCAAAAGTGTTAATTTATAAATACATAAATACTATAATTAACAAGTTTGAATTTTACAGAAGGAACAATTTTGTAGGTAGGTAACAGAAAAATAAGCAAGTTACCACATTTAAGTTTTATTTGGAATAAGGACAAATCATAAAAAGCATTTGCTTTAACAATATTTATTGAATAGTCATATAGTTATAATTTCTAATAGTAAATGACGTAAAATGTGCCCTTTACTATTCGTTTGCGAAAAGAAATATTTAGTGACTCATTAATAATATCTTATTAATCATCATTAATAAGCAATATAAAATTTATCGTCGAGTAACAAAAGAAATTGTTAAAAAAGACAAACAGGTTATTTTTAATTATTTTTGCGGTCACTATCATATAGAGGCTGAACAACGGATACTTGCCTGTTTCAGTTTTCCAATTATTAGATGTTTTTCATATACAAAAATTGTTACATGTCTCAAATTTATGACGCCATCATATTATAGTTATTATTTTCTAGAAAACCTTATCGATATCATTTATAAATAATAATATTTAAAGGGTTGTAAAGATAAATCATTCCCCTTGTACTAGGAAATACTTAACATATTTTTCAAAATAGAGAATATTCTCTCCCTCAAGGCATAGGTTTACACATGGATATTATCACAATCGAAGTTTATTAATGTAGACGGACTTTACATTAGTCTACGTAATGCTTTCATTTTCTGCTAAATAATGATTTGGAATTGTCCATAATTTAAATTTATTCGATTTGGTTCCAACAATTATCTGAAAAAACAATGTAATAAATATATAAAAGGAGAATGTGGCGAAGTAATTAATTAAACCAAGAGGACTTTCCCAAATATCACAACACTATGTTGTTTTTGAAAGTTTGCATATTCAAAAGTATAAAGAACACATAATGAACTCTAATTGTGGACCTATTCCAAACTCTAGTTTGTTTCAATTTATGTAAAAGACCTGTTTACCGTTAATTGTTTAAATTTATTCTTATTGAACTTTTCTACTCCCTTAGTTAGTTTTCCGTCATGTGAAGCGCGTGTTTTGTTTTACTTAACCCATCAAAAAAAGTAATTACAGATTACAGCTAGAGAACGTATAGGTATGTTTTTCCATTGCAAAAAAACACTTGTATTCCTTAATGAGATAGTGTTTGTTACATGAAACATGTGCTGTTATTTTATTTAAATTCCAATATATAAGGTAACTACGGTTACTGAACATGTAACAATTCCCTTGAATAAACATCCCACCCTAATGACAGGTTTTCGTCATGTGAAATATGTGTTGCTTACTTCAATTTGCGCTTTCTTAGCCCTTTGAATTTTTGAAGAACTAATTGCGGTTATTGAATACACAAGTTCTCCTGTTACATATATATTTCATATACGTATTTGTCGAAGCACACATAAGTTAAAAACTTTTTAATTTAGATCTAACTTATCACGACCATTCCAGTTTTTGGTTATGGTATTGAACGTTTCATGTTTTTCCCCACCCGTCTAGAATTTTCTTTGCTTTTAACCCTTTTTGCAGCTTATACTAATATAATAATTATGAAGTAGTCTTGTGTTGAGAATGGTTACAATAAGTGGGTGAGATAAGTATTCGCGTTTTTAAAAGTATTGTGGAATTTTGGGGTAAGTTCTTTTGCTTTAATTACGTAATGTAGATAAAAAATAGTAATAAACACCTCTTCAAAAAAACAATATTTACTTATATATTACAATAACGCAGGTAGCAACATAAAGATTATAAATTACACAAGAATATTGTATGAGAAAAAATAAATGAACTTCAGAAACTTAATGCATAATTAAAAGTAATGCCATTGTATGCAACAACAAAAGAACTGCTAATATAATACAATCACCCTTCATCCAAGAATTACCCGTTATACTTTTATACGAAGTTCTTTAGGAGATAGTGGAATCATGAACTGACTGTAATAAATTCGATGCTCAACATTGGAATACCAAAAACAATAAAAGATACAACGCTACTTCGAGCGTTTCAAGCAATCACTCTAAAAATGCTGGAAACCGTGTAACGTTGTATACCCATTCGTTTTGAAAAATGTGTAGAACAAAATAAACACCATTTTGAACATTTAATTTAGATAATATACATTACATATTTCTGTTTTTGCAGTTTGTTTCTTTATTATAGTATACCTTTCATAATAGTCCAGTAGGAAGCGAATATTGTCAACATAACTTTGTTACCGGACGAGAGTTGTTCCTTGTTGTAGCCGGGAAAAAGTTACGCATTCCTTAAAAGTGTGCATTAACAAATGTAGAAGATCCAAAGTTGACAAAAACCAGGTTTTTAGACCTAGAAGGTAAGGAATGCTTTTTCGAAAGTTTAGCGTCAAATAGAGAAATTAAGAATATTCTATTTGAGCCAATTGAGTCAATGAGTCATTTCTTGAATAATGATTGGTTATTCCAAAAATGAGTTTTCTAGTGATTTTATCACATTTAAATGATGGTTTTTAAATTTGGAATCGAACTAGTTTTTGTGAACGTAAATTGGTCAATTTTACTAACATACTGTTAATTGTTTATCCCAACAGGCACGAGTAATTATTGTCATAACTTTTTTGCAAACATTGCGGCAGCCTTTTTAAAAACAATACTACAAAATATAATGATTTAACTATCGAATGCCGTCAATTTCATTTCTTAATAGTTATAAACAATTAATCTGTGATGTTAAAAAAAAATGTTAACTCAGTTCCTGTTGGTCGCAAAAGATTCGTTTTACTGTTTTAATGTTTATTTCGAAGCTACCTTTTCATATATCTCGGTTAAAAATTTACGTTACGCAGGGGTCGCTTCCAGGTGTAATTGTTTATAAAAAAATCTGACCCCCTTCTTTACAGCAATAAATAAGGGGTTAAAAATGAATTTTGTTATTTGCCCCTAACCGGATATGAAGAACTAAGCCTTAACAAAAAGATTGAACCTATGTGAAACTAAAAACATTTGTCCAAAAAAAAAGTTATGACAATCATTATTCGTGTTTGTTGGTATAAACAATTAATATTTCACTAACAAATTGACCAATTTACGTCTACAAAACTAGTTCGATTGCAAATTTAAAATTTATTTTTTACGCTTTTTTCGGATTTCTGCAATAACCAATTCATAAAATTAATCGGACCGCAGCACGGTTTTTAATTTCTCTACAATTTTTATTTGAAACATTTCTTCCTAAAAAGCATACCTTACCTTCTAGGTCTAAAACCTGGTTTTTATCAAATTTGGACGTCCTACATTTGTTAGCGCACACTTTTTCGAACTTTAAAAATATACAGGAATGCGTAACTCTTCCTCGGCTATAACAAGGACCAACTCCCGTCTGGTAACAAATTTATGTCGGGAAAATTATCTACTAACTGGACTATAAAAGTGCTTGTAACTATTAAATTCTAATCTCCGCCTGCTTGTTTTCCTGTAGTTTTCATATTATTCGCATTAACGACAAACATGACTCCATATCGATATAATGAAGGCTGCCAAAAACCGAAAATATCGTGAGGGAAATATAAGTATTACGAATGCTGTAATTATACGATTTACATAATTAATTGCAGTAGAACTTCAAAGCCTTACATAAAGACAAAGTTAGAGCATGCATAAGTAAGACTTAACATATTATATTGACTGTAAATATTCATGGGATGCTAGACCATCAAAACATTGTGTATTGTAGCATATCTTTTAAAAAAGTACTTGTAACTCTTAAACGCCTGACTTTAGGTACAGGTAATATTCACAAAGATTGATTTTGTTTTTCATTCCACATTCGATGACGTATTAAAATACAGGGTATTCTATTTAACTTAAGCAAGTTATCGTAGTTTAATGAGAACGTAAATATACGAAGTATGTACGGCTTTAATACATGCTTTTATTGCATTTGTCTTTTTATCTTATGACTTTTTTAGGTCACTTATAATATATGAGCCCCCGCCCCCAAATAAAAACTACTTGCGCGGCGTCTGTTCAAACCTGTCCAAGAATTCCAATCAAATTATAAAAAAAATCAAAAATATTAGATTTAAAGGTGAATCACCCTCATAAACGTTATTTTTAATAAGGTATTACCTATTAAAAAAAAAACGAAGAAAATGAGTCACTTCATTTAAAATAACGAAGTAATGACGCACTACAGATAGAACTGGAAACGCTATGCTTCGAAAATATCTTCATTGAACAGATCTCTGCTTTATAAAAGTATATGAAGTTTTATATTGATACCTATTTTTTTTTGCCTATAAATTTTTAGTGAACGATTTAGATCAGTTCTATTCGATATAATATACTTTGATTGAAACAGACGTTACAGCATATCGAATCATTTTACTTACCTTCCCATTTACTATTTCCATTGATAGAAGAAGCCCGCCTGGCCCAGTCATTGTGCCCAAGTGTTTATTTGTCTTTATGTTATAAATATAAACATTTCCATTATAGCAACCAGCAAAAAGGAGATTTTTCACTATCTGCATACAAACTACACCTTTAGACTTTGTAGCTTCGTGTTTGAAAATTAACTGACCATCCTTAAAAAAATACTCTTTTAAATAAATACAACATTGTAACTCTTAATTAATATCCATAAGTGAAATTCATAAAAAAAATAAATTCTGTTTGTATTTATCAGCAAAGTTTTCTTACACTTTCAACTTTTTATATAATGTGAACAGCACACAGGATAAAGCATTTTATCAGTTTAAAGGTGATACATTCATTCTGTTTATTGCAATATAACTTATTAGTATAAAGTTGGAGCATATATATCTACTTTGTATTACTTATGCTTTTAATGAATTTTAAGGATTCACACAAATATAACGTGACGTTAGCAGCTCCATTCTTGAGTTTTATGACAATTAACGAAAACACATTTTCTAGTTTTCATTTACCATCTTATTAAGTACCTATTGTTTTAGAAATACAAGACATGCGTTTATAACTGCATAATGTCTATTACGTTTACAATTTATGTCCGCAAGTTGTAAAGATAATAATGATCAATATACGGGATGTTCTGAAATAAGTAGCACGCTTTGGAGGGTATTAATAAGATGCAATAGGGAATCGCACGGTAAGTAAAGCAGCGTAATTAAGTGACAAATAATTGTAACAAAATCAGACGAAGTTGCAGTCCGAAGCTGACCCTAGGCGTGAATTGTGACTACATCGATGAAAAACATAATGATACTCGTGGAATGACTAATAAAATTATTATAAACATCTTATTATTACGCTACTAGCGATAATAATGTTTAGATGCCCAATGCGATAGTATGCAGTATTACAGTATAAATATTCTATACAATAGGTTCACATCCCAGCCACCCCCATAGATCTCTCTCCTGCCTACACTTCATCACTTCATCAACGAGTTCCCCGCTAAACAGGGGCTGCTTTGTACAGTGTCATCGTAAAGCCATAGCACAAATACATTTTGCATATTTAGCAGTTCAGCGCACATAAAGTTAATTTATGATGACCTGCATGTCGGTATTTTAGACAGATCAAAGGAGTGAACCTACCGTATAGTCTTTATACTGTGGCAGTAGTTTTTAAAGTACATCTCGACATGGTATTAAAAACACAAAAAAAAATTAACGTTACGTAAACATTAATAGGTAAATTAATACCTTTTGGACAGGTAATAGTAATTTTATTAAATTTCAAAACTACCATAAGATACGTTACCATTTTTATACAAGGTTCGTCAATAACCCCATCTTTCCATTTGAAAGAATTAATTATAATACCAGTAAACGTACATAAACATACGTGCATACACTAAAAAAAAACATTTTTAAGTTGCGTAAAAACTTCCGATATTTGACGTTTGCACCGATAATACACGGTCATGCAAAACAATAGCGTTCTGCACTAGCGTTTGATACAGTCGCTGTTTCATACAACCCCATACAAACAAGTCAAACGGATTTAGGACTATCCACATACGTCCAATCGAGCATCTAGAAAAATGTTTGTCGATGCAATAACACTATTTTACACTAATCTATGACACTCACACATTGACGTACTTCTTATGAATGTTAAAAGAACAATAAATTATTCTAGGCTGACTGTAAACCCAAACATCGACAATCATACTTGATTTAATCAAACAAATAACAAACAATACACGAATATAAAAATACAAAAGAAATATAACACGGCTGCTACTAAGCAGTAACTGATTGAATCGGGTGTTGAAATGTCGTGTTTTCCTGCCTGATGTGGCTTTTGCCTGCACTTTCAAATACGTTTCCCTCGAAATGCTGGACTTTCGAACCAGCAAATATTTACTTAATTTTCTTGTTTTATAGTGCTCTTTCACCTCCTTTAAGCTTCCTGCTTATTTATGAAACACCCTATATAGTCTAAGAACCAGCGACTGCCAGACATTCTTAAAGTATAAACGCTGATTTTTTTATGTAGTATTCTCTCTAATGTAGGGAACAATGTTTGAGAGTTACCAACCTTGACCAATAGGGACTTCGGCAATGACAGGTAAGTAGGACTACAGTATTCAGTTCAAATCTTTCACGTAAAAGTGTAAAAGCTGAAACTTTTATGACGTTTTTAAATACCCATTTTAAGTTGATATTTAAAAAGCCTGACTTATCCAAATGGTCTAAACTCCTTCAGACACAGTATAAGGTCAGATGTACCATGATAATATTATCTAGGTATACGAAAGAATGTAAGAAAGTATTAGTGCAGTTTAAAACTAATTTTATGTATGTATGATTTAAAAATTTTACAATAGTGTTCAATGAACCAGACATATTAAACTGAATAAAGGCCAGTTAGAATTGCATATGAGGAAGCATCCGAAAACTATTGATTCAGCGTATTATATCATGCGCGAAAAATTATTTGTTTATTATATATACATATTAAATTTACATTTTTTATTTAATAATATTAGTAAATAAATTAAGCTTACCATTAATTAGTGGTATAAAGTCAAATACAAATTATTGGAAGATATTAGTTAGTATTTTTAAATGAATTAACAGCTTCAAAATATAGTTATTCTAATATATTATTTTATATTTTACGGTAAATGTGATTAATTCAGTGATTATATATAATAACCGGTAATTATGCATAATCACCACTAAATTGTAACTCTGTACTAATATTATAAAGCTGAAGCGTTTGTTTATTTGCTTGAACGCGCTAATTTCAGGTCTACTGGTCCGATTTGAAAAATTATTTCAGTGTTAGATAGGCCATTTATCGAGGAAGGCTATAGGCTATATATCATCACGCCAAGACCAATAGGAGCGGAGCACCAATGAAGAATGTTTCAAAATCGGTATTTTTTCTTTTGAGAGTTTCCGCTGCGTGCGCTTCGTAAACGGTTAAAGTTTTGCAAAAAAAGTCCGCGACAGCATATATCTATCTTTTCAGGTTGGCTCACTCCAACCTTTTTTATGCTATTTACTCTTGATGAAGGTTGGTAACACCTAAGCATCGTTCCCTATGCTAGTGATTCAACCTTTATATTTTAATGTATGTCTGACAGGCGCTGACTCTTATTGTTAGTCTGATAACTAATTAACGATAATAAAGCTAAAAATTGTGAAAGAATACGTACCTCAAAAGTGTATACCAATATATCATGTTGACTAGTACCGCAAAACACAAAATTTTTTTCCAGTAATAACGTGTATACCGTGGGACAAAATGGAGTTTCCATGGTTCTCATAAGAAGGCCAGACATAGCATCCCTCACTGATACTGGATTGTTACGTGCGGCCACAACAAGAACTTTCCTTGCACCTTCCTGAGTTGCTCGTAGTACAAGAACATTTAGGTCAAATATTTTTTCTTTATAATCTACTTTTTCTTTCTGTAAAAGAATATTCAGTAAAATTAATAGCAGGAAAAAATAAAAAACTATACTTGAAACATATATAACATACTAAAAAGCATATCTTTTTTGATAAAAATTTTTATATGTATATGATTCCAAAAGGCTAAACTTTTCGTATTCTAGAGTTGATTTATTTAGTAAGTAATGTATTGGATATACATGGTGTCGCATAAATAAGGGGTAATCGTTCACCTGCGTATGAAGGTCAATTCAAGTTTTCCAGTTATTTATTCCCACGCGTACAGCGCCGTGCTCCAAACATACACCTTTAGCAACCATTTTCGAATTTCTAAATTAACCGTTCGCGAGCATAGAAGCGACTTCTTTTTATTGACTGGGCGTATTATGATTTTTTTTATTGTGTTTTACTCATTGTTTTACATTACACTGTGTAGAATAATGGGTAATGATGTTGTTTCTTAAATTATACTTGCTTAATACAGACTTTAAAATTGTATATTACATGCTACTTTCTCGGAAAGGAATAAAATTGCTATTTATATACCAAATAAGGTATTTTTACCGACGTGCATTACTCCTATAATTTTATTTTTTTAATATCAACTTCAATTCAAAAATAAACCAATAAAAAAATTATTGTAATAAATTAATGGCCAATGTGTTTTTTTGGATTCTAACATTCGACGTCTAGTTGGTTATGACCAAAGCTCGAAATGTAATTTTTGAACACACTTTTGATGAATGTAAATGATCAACATAGAAACAGTTAAGAATATCTACTAAATACGTTTTTATGACTTTCAATATCGGCAACAATAAACTATACCGATATCTTAATACATAAAAAGAAAAGTCCTGACTTACTAATTCATAAACGTTCAAATTAAGCTTTTAGACCGGAATAGTTGAAATTTTACATAGCAGATTCCCGTTTCTAAGGGGGCGAAGAGGTCTGACAATGTTTGCATGGAACATCTTTGTTTGTGGTCAGATTTGATTTAAACTTGGTCTTTATATTCTTTAACTTAATTAATTAAACGTTTATTTCGGGATTTTAAAAAATTCAATCCTTAAGGAGTTATAAGGGGTAACAAAATTTGTTCGGAATATTTATTTTATCACATTTAATTGAAACTTGGTCTTAATACTCTTTAATAGAATTAATCAAACATTTTAAAAATGTTTTGAGGGGTGCAAAGGTGCAGCAATGTTTGTATGGAACATTTATATTTATGGTTAGATTCACTTGAACCATGATATTAATCTATTCCCCGTTTCTTCCCCAGATTGGTGTATATAAAAGAATCAAGGGTAGTAAGAGTACCTTTTATTTTACCTGTACCAACACCAACGTTTCGTCCCTAGTTATGATAAAAGTTAAAATTACCTAATTTTAGATTAACTAATTACTTAGTGCTTTACTTACCTAATAACTAAATATACTCTATACGTCTATACATTTCTATTAACTTAGTTTTTTTAATTTATTTTTTATACTCTAACTTTTTATTACATTTTACGTCATTAATCTTATTGTAATAGTGTCCTTTAATGTCGCCACGTGGTCTTTAATATTGTAATTTATTATTTTTTCTATATTAGTGCAGCCTTTAAGTTGGTTTGCTTTTACTTATTTATTTATTATTTTATTTATATCCGTGCTGTTTCAATTCAATGCTTCTTACTCATTACTATGTGCCTTTTGCTAAGACTAAATGATTTGAAAACAACCTGTTGTTAACCACAGAACCTAGCAAATGTCCACGAAAGCCAAATATTACATCTTTTACGAATTTGTATAGTGGTAGAGATAGAGACCCATAACTATTAGCGAAACGTTGGTACTAGTTCTACGCAAAAAATAAAACATTATACCTTTACTGGCCTTGATTCTTATTTTACATATTTGATCTTAATATTGATACAATTAAACAAACACGTATTTTGGTAATTTTTAAAAACGAACCCTTAAAGGGTGAAATGAAGCTTGTATTTGAAATCTAAGTTAGTGACATGACACAAAATTAAAACTCTGTAGGTGTGAATGGGGGAGTTCAATGTTTTCTACGCGGTAAATAAAATAAATACGAATAACAACAAAAGCAATGACTACTTTTCGATATTATTAATAAATAAAAAAATAGTGTTTCGTCAATTTCTGGACATTTATAAAATACATAAGAAAAATTTGATTCATTGCAATGGCCTGTCTGTAAACATAAATAAAGCGTTGAAGTTTTCTTTATGAAAAGCAATTTTTACCATCTAGGATAACCATGTAAAATAACCTTAGTATTTCAATTAAGTAGTAGTAGATAATATGCTTTACCTGAACATCATAACGAATTATTGAACCTCTGTCAGACCCAATAAATAAATAATCCCAAGCATATTCCATGCACTGTATTGGTTCCCCTACATTTTCAGATTTAATTTTTTCTTTGGTCATGAAATTATATATGTTCAGTTTAACATCTAACGATCCTGTATACAGTATTTCTTCATCATTATTTTTTAATACACATAGAGATGTTATAGCAACTGAACAAACATTAATAGTATGAAGTAACAATCCAGATGACATACTATAGCAGAACAATTTGCCTTTGTCAGAAGCAGCTATTATTATCCCAGAAACCACCTTTAACAAAAAAAGAATTATAAGATATATAAGAAAGAGTGATCTATTACGATATTTATTTATAGGAAATTAGTTTGAATTCCAAGGCGTGCTATAGCAATAGGCAACCAGCGAGAGCGTGTATTTTAATGGGCCCTGAAAATTAAGAATTTTAAAACATTTTTTTATTTTTTTTCCTTTTTAGTATTAAAGAAAGGCCCACATGTAAATCATTTAATTATGAACGTTAAAATTCTATGCACATGAGTTCGTTACCTTGTAGTCTAAATGTTCTCTCGGTAGCCCTGGCAATCATTCCGAAAAAATTGATAGTTAGCTAATTAGTATGTATACTAATATAAATGTGTTCTGCTAATAAATTAATATAATAATTGAACAGGATTATTGGTATTGACTTAAGTCTCAAGACGAAACGTCGCGAATCAACAATGGTCTAATTGGTTTTTCAATTTTGTTTTTCCAATACCCATTGTTGATATAATGATTAGGTCAACCGTGTGACCGATGAATTCATAAGAAAACATAACACACGAACCATTAAGATATGAAGCCATAAATTTGTTTTTTCAGTCAGTCGCTACTCAACAGATTATGGGTTTAGACGCTGCCTTTTAAACGCGCATCGGTTAATCGGTTGAAAATGGAAACTGATAAAGTTAAAGTCGAAAAACTGCGGGATGCGGATAATTGGCATCAATGGCATTTTGTGATCCAAACGTTACTAGACAGCGAAGATGCGTTGGATGTATGCACTGGTAAATAAAGCAAACCAGAAGCAGGGGTTGCTGACCATGAAAAATTACTGAAGAGATGGACAAAACTGGACAGAATTGCAAGAAAACTTATCGTTACCACTGTTTAATCCAAACAGCTTCAAAGTGTGTTCGATAGGAAGTCCGACGAAAGTTTATCTCTCGTTCAAAAACAGTTCTTTGATTACCAATGGAAAGAAAATTGCAACATTGCTGAACACGTTTCCGCTTTAGAGCAGTTAGCAATAAAAATAAAAAAGCTTAGGGAAGAAATTCCGCAATCAATGTTAATCACCCGAATTCTATGCAGCTTACAGGTGCAGTATAACCATTTCCACAGTGCTTGGGATTCTACGGATCCTACCAAGAGGAATCTGGAAAATCTAACAACGCGGCTGTTAACGGAAGAACTTCGATTGCAAACGCAAGCAAAAGAAGATGATACTGTTGCGTTAATGTCAAAGGTGAAGCTGCAAGATAGTGCAAAGAAAGGTCACAAGGTTTCACGCAAGAAAATGGTTTGTTCAATATGTGGCAAACGAAAAAGATTGTTTCGGGTGTTACTCGTGCGGATCAAAACATCTGATCAGAGACTGTCCCAAGAAGAAAGAACAGAATCACGAACCGAAAGAGCAAGCGTTTATCGGAAAAGCAAATTCAGATGAAAACCCGAATTATTGGTTAATAGATTACGGTGCATTTACTCACATGTCAAACTGTCGTAATGTTTTCCGGAAATATAGTAAATTTTCTAAACCATTAATGATTCATGTGGCGAATGATGAGAAAATAAAGGCACTAGGAAAAGGCGACATAAAGATCGAAACATACGCGGGCGGTAAATGGCTAAACGGAACGATTTACGATGTATTATATACTCCTGATATGATACATAATTTGTTTTTGGTAAAAAGTGCTGCAAAACGGGGTGTTGATTTCACTTTAGACAACAACGGTTCGCGATGTGTATTTCAAAGAAATGGAAAGACTGTCGAAACTGGAGTTGAAGACAACAATTTGTATCGAATTTTGTTAAAAGTCGTTTTACCGGAAAACGCCCTAATTGCAAGTGAAAATGATACGTTGCAATTATGGCACGAAAGACTGGCGCATCAAAATAAACGGCACGTACAGAATTTTTTAAAAAACGAGAAAAAAATAGTACCCGACGGGTGGAGAATTTTGTGATGGTTGCGCACTCGGTAAGTCACAGACAAAGTTTCGGTAAACGAACTGAAATCGCAAGTGAAGCACGAGAATTAACACATTCAGAAGTGTGTGGCCCTATGAGTATCAAAAGTCCCGAAAAGAAACGGTATTATGTGCTGTTTAAAGATGACTTTACCGCGTATCGATCGATTTATTTCATTCGAGAAAAATCGGAAGTCAAAGAAAAACTATTTTGCGCGGAAGTATCAACTTCTATTGACGTCAATTAGTATTCAAGAGAATCGCAAAATTACGAAGGAAAATTTCCATACGGAGAAGCAGTTTTTTTTTTTTCGCTGAAAACATTGCATCAAGAGCATTAGAAACGCCTACCGAAATGCATATTCGTCTTGTAACGCGCATACTACGATACATTAAAGGTACTCAAGATTTGGGATTAATGTACAAATCAGAAGGAAAGTTTGAAGCCTACTGTGATGCTGATTTTGCTGGAGACAAATCAACCAGAAAATCAACGCCCGGTTTTATGTGCAAAATTCAGAAGTGCTGCAGTGTCCTGGTATTGCAATAGGTAACAATGCATCCCGCAATCTACGACAGAAGCAGAATACATAAGTGCGGTAAGTGCTTCAAAAGAAGTGATAAGGTTAATGCGTTTACTAATTGAAATCTGTGTCAACAAAACAAATTAATGTGCTTCATTGAGTGTTGATAATCAAAGTGCTATAAGACTCATCAAGAATCCCGAATTACATCAGCGTACTAAATATATAGACGTTCGTTATCATTATATTTGAGATTTATATCAAAAGAAAGAAATTAATATTCAGTATATTTCTAGTGAAAATCAAATTGCTGATTTTATGACAAAACCATTAGCAAAACCAAGNAATATTTTTAAATGTTTTTTTTATTGTTGAGTTGGTGTATTATTTTTTAAGGAGTGTTGATATAATGATTAGGTTAACCGTGTGACCGACGAATTCATAAGAAAACACACACGAACCATTAAGATATGAAGCCATAAATTTGTTTTGCTAAACAAAAGCAATAGTGTACTTTGTATTTGTTCTTTGTTTTTTCAAAGAGTCAGTCGCTACTCAACACCCATGATCCTGTTCAATTATTGTATAATGGAAGTGATTTCATTATGTTTAGATTAACAGATATAATATTTATTATTGATTTAAAAAGCTACCAACCTTAATTACCAATATAACGCCCTCAAAATTTGTAAAAAGTATTTCTTCTAAATCACCTCCAACATCAGTGGTGGATATCAGAATATTACTTTCGGAATCACCTTTACTCGCTATTTCCTGATTACAGTTAAGATCAACGTTATTTTCTGTACATTGTGAAGATTCCATACAGTTTTCATGCTGTTCAACTTCTGAATTGTGACAAATGAGATCTTGCAAATTATCAGATTGTATGTTATTTTCATTTTTAGGTAATTCTACCTCTGTGAAATTTTCTTCATTTACTTTTCCCAAATGCGGCTGAATATTTAATTCATTTTTACTTTCTTTTAAATCCGTAAGATGAGAATCGCAACATACTTCATTAGTTGCATGCCTAGATTTCTCGTATTGATTCTCTTCACTAAACTGAGAAATAGGCTGAAATTCATTTTCAATTTTTGAATTTGAACATTCTTCTAGATTTTGTGAAGTACTGAAGTTATGTAAAACTGTCATTGCTGAAGTTCCTGCTTGTACCAATGATAATCTCTCTACTCGAACAATGCATTTTAGTTTTTGTATTTCTTCATACAAGTCGCTTCTATTTCCATATTTTTCATAGTTAACAACAGTTTCTTCTTCTCTTTGTAATCCTTTTGTACTACCTTTTTCTACAATAGATTCTTTGGCTACTTTATCCACATTTGTTTCTATATTTATCGTTTCAGTTTTGTTACTTTTTCGTCTTCGTTTATGCTCCGGTTCATCCAAAGAGAATTTATGTTTTATTTCATTCTCTAAATTAGCTCCTGACGTATAAGAAAGATTTTGACATTTTGGAACTGAACTATTTTCTGTATGTATTCCTTCAACGTTTTCTTGGACTATTCCTTTTCTTGAAGGTTTCTCCGTCACTGCTTTATTATTAGTTTGTCTTAAATTTTTAACATAATCATTATTAATAGCAAAGGAAGAATGCTTTCTTTTTCTGCGTTTTGTGGGTCTATTTGCTTCATGTTTTATTATGATTTTATTTTCCTCAGTGTTTTGTATTTTGTCTCTTACTATCTGTTTCTTTTTATTATAACATTTTTTTATATTGCAAACATCAGAAGCAACGTTTCTTTTTTCCAAAAATAAAGACATATCCTCCTGTTCTGATTTAGATGTAACAAAGACTAAACATTCATTATCATTCGGTAATTCATTAGCAGTTATAATTTCATTGTCATTCGTTACTTCTGAGTGTTTTGTAATATTGGCATTTTTTGCTGAAGTTTTCAGTTCTTCCATTTCATTTGCATTTTGTTGAGCTCTGTTACATGCATGGTGACCACGTTTGATTGTGTTTACATCATTATTATGGGTAGTATTTTCAAGGATTTTATTTTTACCCAATTCTAAGTTATCTGTCGAATTGAAAAATACCTTCTTCTGTTCTAACAAGTTTTTTACATTTAATTTTTCAACATCATTGGATGAAATGCATTGATTTTCTTTGGAAACCACTGTTGAATCTTGTAAGATTAACGATGCGGTTCCTTTTACATTTATATTTTGATTACTCTTGCCTATATTTATTTTATGTATGTCTCGCAACTTCACATTCTTTTTTAATTTACGTTGTTTTGCGTAATTTGTTTTTAATTGTGAATGATCAGATACATTTTTGGACTTCATTACAGATAAATTGTTAAATTTATTAGCAACTGTATTCAATTCATTCGAAGTATTCGGCAATTTGCAATGTATGTTTTTATAACTATCGTCGTATAAAACTTCATAGAAATCACGTCTGATTTTTAATAGATTGCCTATTTGCTTGTCGATTTCAATTAATTTTGTTATAGCATCATTTCTAGTTAATTTCGAATATTCATTTATTTCATGAGAATCAAAATTAGCTGTTGAAGTACTAGTGCTTATGGTTTGAATATTATTATCTATTTCACATTGAACCATTCGATCGCTGTATTCTTTATTACTATTTTCTGTTTGTAGTTCAATATCTTTCATTGTATATTTTTCTGTTTGTGAATAATTATTTCTTACACGAATTTTTCTTTTTCTATCATCAGAAGTATGATATGATTTATTTCGTGATTTTACTTGTTCTAAAGTAGAACCTTCTTTACTTGAATAAACTGATTCTTCTGAAGTGCCATCTCTTTTTCTGGAGGACTCTAATTTATTTAATGAGGTTTTGTCAGCAGTGTTTTCTTTAGCGGCACAGATTTCTAACTTAGATGCTTTATTACTAGTCTTGCAGTTCTCTCTTGATGATGATCGACCTTCTTGCTTAGTTTCAAGTGCGTTAGAATTTTTATCAGAACTAATATGTTTATTTTTGATTTGAAACGTGTCATGCTCAAGAATATGTTTTCCATTTTCATAGATATAATTCTTGTCAGGACATTTGCTATCGACGTTTCTTTCACTAATACAATGACAGTCATTACTATTTTCAAGTAATGTGTTATTTTTTTTAATGTTATTCGTAACTTTTTCGAGGTCCTCAATACTCTCTGAATTTAATTTTAGGTGCGTAGTCTCATTTTTCAAATCGTTCAATTGTTTGTCAATAGGTTCATCTTTACTTAAACATTTCGTTTCTTCATTCAATGCATCACCACAAAATGTAGTCAATCTATTAATATGTGAAATATTTGCTTTTAAACTTTCTTCATTCTCATCTAAACAAGTGTCAAGTTTTAAATCTATTTCGGCTACGATTAAATTATTATTCGTCTTTATAGTGTCCACTTCAATTCCATTACTCACAAACAAATTTGCATTATTTTCTACATTCGGAATTTTCTGAACATCTTTTGAAATAGTGTCTTTAGTTTCACCTTCCATTAGCAACGAAAATTCAGGTTCCTTTAACGTTTGCACATGTTCAACAAATGCCATAGAGGAAGTTTCTTCTTCACGTCCATTTTTTTCTAAATTTCCAGGGGTAATGTCAGCTACTTTATCAAAATTTAAAGTAACATCATTATCTGTTTTTGAGTTAGTTGCTAAAACTAAACCATCATCTGCAAAATAAATAAAGAAATAAAATATATCTTAATGTAAACAATTACTATGTGCCGGTTGATTCCGATTTTGAAATTGTATTGTTTTAACTTCAGGCTATTTAATAAACAAAGCATTAAATTTGTTTAAAATAGTAGTACCTATAACATTTTGACTAAATAAAATGAAATAGTAGTTCTTCATATACAAAAACACAAATTAATGCAAATGCAATATGCATATAACATGTGATGGTTATTTGCTCTCCAATAGTGTTACTTTCTACCTATACAAGGCATCATTAAATTTTGAACAGTTGTTAAATACTTATTATTTTAACCAAAATGATTATCATTATTTCAGATAATCCGAAGTATACAGCAATTCATGAAAAAAAAAAGAAAATTACCCTGAGTAGTACTCATAACGTCTACAGCTGATTTTTCCACAAAATTATTCCATAATTTTCCATCTTCTAAAACACTTTTTTCATCAACGTTGTGAACATCCTTCGCTCTTTTCTCCCATAATCTTACCATTTCATCATCTTTTAAATCACCACCTTTTACAGCTGATTTATTTATGTCAATAAACATATCATAATCATAATCTAAATCTTCGTTTTCATATTCATATACAGATTGAATTGTCGACTCATTGCTTTGAATTTTATTATTATCGTTACAACTTTGAGAATAATTTGACTCTATGTTTTCTTTCTGAGAATTGCTTGCTAGAATCACCTTTTCACCAGCGGTTGTTTCAGTATCAGTAAAGTCAACTGAAAATGAATCTGAATATTTATCATCATTAACTAAATCGGCAGTTTTTGTATTTGTAGGTACATTAATCTTAACATTTTTATCGTCGTTTTCAATTTCATTATAGGCTGTCTGTAGTAATTCTTTTTCAAGCTCATTACTAAAATACTTCATTGCGTTTTTTTGTCTAGCACGTCTATTTTTTCGTTTTTCGCTTCTTTTATTAAAAGACTTTTTTTTGTCTACATTTGATGTTAAATCACGAGACTCATCTGTACTTTTAAGTTTGATTATTCGAACTTTAGCGGTTCCTTGAATTTTTTTTCTTGGAGAAAATCCTTTGACTATCTCTTCAATTGCTAAATCTTCCTTAGCTTTTTTTGAGTTTGATTCTGAAAGAAATTTATGCTCTTGCTTGCTTGCTTGTTCTTTGTTTTGTACTAAAGGTATTTTTGTTGGTTTCAAGTAAGATGTATAAGGGTTAAAATTTTTGGTTAAACAAGAAAATCCAATGCTATCTTTACTTTTTATAGATAAATTACTCGAAGGATGTGTGTAATAATCAGTTTCGTTTATTATTTTCATAGTTTCTTTATAACTGTCTCTATTTAATGATATTTTATTTTTCTGAAAATCCACCTTGGCAATTTGTTGTCTTGCATTGTTTATAAACCTTTTATCTTCATTTTTCGGAATCTGTTCCGGTATATCGTTTACTAATTCTAAATTTTTTGATTGTTCAGTCATTAATGTTGTTGAAGTAATTTCCGCCTGCGTTTCAAACGAATTAGTTTTCGCAAAATAATCTGATTCCCTATTGCTACCTGAAGTATTCTGGAATTTGTTATTTTGATTTATTTTGTCACCCTGGTTACTGCATTTCCCTTTAACTAAGTTTTTGGTTTCAACATCACTCTGTAGTACTCGTTTTTGCAAGTGTTTCGTAAGATCTTTTGTAAGGAATTCTGTATCTTTAGTAGAGTTGAACTTTTCTCTATTAACATTGATTGTACTATTATCTACTTCTTTTGATTGGCTTCTGATGGTGTGTTCACAGACTTTTTTGTTAAAAAGTTTCCGTCTTGATGCAATTTCAAAATGTATCTTTTCTGATTTGAATTTAATTTGATCCTTTTTCATTTTATCTGCAGGTTGTAATTCTACGTATTGCTCAACAGTATCTTCAACTTTAATTTCTGCATTTACTAATTTACTTTGAAGTACATTTTCATACTCCTGAGAATTGATTTCTTGTTGATTTTGTTCAATATTCCCGTTAAAATTACTTATAGTTTGTACTTGTTCACCAATACTACATCCAGAGTGTGTCCTACTTTTTGTACTTGTATTCTGACTTTGTTCTCCTATGATAGTAGGTACAGTAAGATACTCTTTTTTAGTAGTTTCTCCACATTGTGTAGATACAAAGTTAATACTTTCATTTATGTTGTTCCTATGATCATGATGTAGATCTGAAAAGGTGATGTTTTTATCACTTTTCATATTGAATGGGCAGGGCAATGCCACATTATCATCTTGAAAATTACTTTGATCCACATCTGATCCTTGAGGACTTGGTTGATAAAAATCTTTAAAATTAGGTAAATTATCAGAAGATGAGTTATTACTTAAGGCAGAACTTTCTTGCAAAAACGTATCACTAATAAGATTTTGCTGTGGAAATATATCAGTTTTAGATTGCTTACATTCAGGTAAATATTCTAAGGAATCCTTTAACAAGGTTTCTGCTTGTCGGAAATACGTTTCAGGAACAATAGGATCTGGTGAACAGAAATCATTTCTTGAGAATTCTACATAATTACTGCTCATTTGTTTATTTGGAAAACTAAAGTTACTATCGTCAAAATGTACATCCAATGAAGTGCTTAGCTTTTCAATTATCTCTTTTGGTAAACTTTCTATTGGAATATCAAAGTCAGGAATTATAGAATTGATAGCGTCTGTTTTTTCATTAAAACATTGTTCTTTACACATTTCCCTCAATGCATGAGACAATTCAATTCTTTTCTGCTTCTGGATTTGTTGAACAGCTAAATCATATCCAGTAGGTCCAACCTGATTGATTATATTAACCTTTTTAGCATGACTCAAGTTGGAGATGTGATTAATAAGTTTATTATGAATTTCATTAACATCATACATTTGCTGAAGTTTAATTTTTTGATGTGAACTTGTATTAAAACTATGTTTTGGAGAGTAGACAACATTATAATGGTTACTGTCAATAGATCTTGCGGCTTTATCTGAATTTGCAGAGTAACTGCTAACATTTTCGAAATTTGTATATTTAGGAAACTCGTTACAATCACTATGCAAATTTTCATGAATATGGCTAGAATTGATATAGGTTTTTGCAGGCACATCTTCATCAATTTGTAGTTGCCTTTTAATGAAATCACTAGCTTTTTCAATATTCCTTTGAGTGTATTCTTCACTTCCTGGGAACGGTGATCTAGGACGAATGTGTTCCTTTTTAGTAATAACTGATAATTGAACATTTTGATTTAATACACCATAAGATGTTGAATGTGTTGAAAACTGATTTCCATATTTATAAATACCATTTGGTGAAAAGTTTTTACGACTATTGGAGAAATGTTGCCCTTTGTGTCTGAAAATTTTAATTGCCTATAATAAATAAGTAGCTGCAAATTGTAAGTTATTCAAATTCCACTGATAGCGTTAAATTTCGCCAAGTCATAAACCATATGTAAGATCTCGAAAAACAAAAATTAAATCCTTTCTTAATTCGGCTTTTGGATTATTTTCTGTGGTTTGATCATTATGGGAAATTTATATGACATGCCGGAATATAAGATTTTTCTTCAGATTTTATTTTATTTAAAATTATAAAATTTTCAGTTAAATTCAAAAAATTCATCAATTTCTGTATACAAAAATAGCATTTGAAACTTATCCTGCTCCACAAAATGAACTAAATTTAATGCTTTTTGCTTACTTCTTATATCTGTAAAACTGTAAAATTGGGCCCACATATAAAAATCACTTCAACAATATTATGTTAAATTAGGTGTATTTCATTTTTCACCTTCAAATCCAAACACTATTTAATATTGTAGGTCACCTTCAACTCCTCTTTCCTTTTCATCTAGAAATTACTATTATATACAGAATAACTTTTTCCAATTTCACTTAAATTCGGATATTGGAGACAAGCAACAAAAATGCTTCAAGTTCAGGTCATTTTGCAGAAATAGACATAAATTCCCAATGCAACAAATATTAATACTAGAATGTTAGGATAAATGGACAGTAATCTTTTTAGTTAGCAACCAATATCAATAGATCACAACATACTGCCGTGACTTGACACAAATGAATGCTATTTTGCAATAAATAAAAACTAATAATAATAAAATTTACCGTTGTTGGGTTGATCTCCAACTGCGGCTTCTTTCTCCTCCACGCCAATTTCTATTTGGTCTAGTTCTTTCTCTTTTATAGCTACCCTTAATGAACTTAGAATCTTGAAAATTCATTTCACATGTATCTAAAAGCATTAATTGGTTATAAACGTACATATGCTTAATAAATTTCTTAGCCAAGTCAAATAATGTTGTCTAGGATTGAAATTGTAAGGTTATCTTAAAGAAATGAAGCAGGTGAAAAGTATCTTCCTCATATTTCACAATTTCATACACTACCATTATATCTTTAATAAGTTTGTAAATTACCTTGGCGGGTTAAAATCACAAATAAATAATGATAAAAACTAATAGTCTTATTGTATTTGACAAATTGATAAATACCTATTTTAAGATTTATTTTAGAACAAGGGTGACACTGACATTATTTTCGTTTTCCCCGTTTACAACTTTACAATTTCAATAGTGGCTCTATGACCACACAAAACTTGATTCTAGCATTATCTATGATTCTAGCTTTCATGCCACAATGAATCACGAATGTAGCCGAACGTGACTGCTCTTGTGTAGTATTCACATGGATAAACATATTCAAAAATCGCAAGACTCCATAGAATTTGCGCAGACGCGAAATAATTTTGCCGTTTTCTATGATTTTACTTTAGCCCCTTTTTTATTTGAATTGCGAATTTAAATAAATGATTCCAAACGTTCCAACCTCTTTAGCAGTAGTTTATAACTTTATTACTGCTGTTATATTAGACAAGGTTTTAAGTAAACAGGAAATATGAATTAAAAAAATACCTCTGTATCCACATAAAATACACACTTTATTCATTAATATAAGTGTTAAGCCTTTATAATAAAATGTACATATAACAGTTATAATTAATCATCTTCATATCATCTGTATATTAATTAATTGGGTAATTTTTTACATTAGTTGACATTGGAATTGAGACATGAAGTTTAGTCAGGTAGGTAGTACTCACCAAGTAGAATCGTGTGGTAGCATTAATTCCGTGCGGAAACCAATGTAGCTTGAGATACAGGCTCCTAAAGTTATTTAATCGGAGGAAATTTCGATTGGTACGGCCCTGGCTGCAGCCCTTCGTCAGCTGTTCTCGCCAAATATGCATTGATGACGTCATTGTTTAGTTAGGTAGATGTATGACAGACTCGAGTTTGTTTAATGCCCCTGCCCGCCGAAGGCGGGCTGATACATTACAATAATGTTAGGAAGATATGTTTTAGGACAAACGATGTTTGGCGGGAACAGCTGACGGAAGGCTGAAGCCAGGGCCGTACCTATTGGTATTTCCTCCGATTAAGAAAACTTTAAGGGCCTGTATCTCACTCACATTGATTTTTAAACAAATGATAAACAAAATTCTAGTAAATACTACTACACTACTTTACTTGGTGAGTACTACCTACCTGACTAAACTTCATGTCTCAATTCCAATGTCAACTAATGTAAAAAATTACCATTAATTGGTTTGGAATGTTTAGTTTAGTCAATTTTGGACTATTTATTGTTTGATGGGAAATATTTTTGTCCTAACCATTTTACGTTTCCTGGAATTCCTGTTTCTGTACTTTTTCTAGCAGCATTCCAAACTCCTTTAATGACATTTGAAAGGCTTCATCATTCAGTTCATTCATTACAGTTTAAAATGACGCCATTGCTATCTTTAATTGCGTTTCACGATCTTGAGGCGCTTCACTATTCTTATTCTTCTGATTTTCGAACATAATTATTTCTACTTTGTGGTTTATTGTAATTGTGAATTCATATTCTTGTAATATATTGACAATACCATCTAAAACATAGTTATTGCCTCCGTTTTCTCATACAAACATACCAAATGAACATGCTTACACGCAGTAGTTTTTACTGCATACTGCTGACATTCACACTTACTTCTATGAATACAAATACTGTAAAACTGTACAATCTTTTGCATTCTCTTTCTCACAACTCATACATACTTCATTCTAGTACGTATTTGCATTAGGTCTCTCCGTATACAATATTCTATTACTATTTACAGTAACTATCATACGATAAATACAAGTATAAGCTTTTGCTTTAAAAAAAACGGCAGGTTAAATTCACCACCAAAATTCTATACTGTTGTTTATAGTATACGGTAACAATCACACGATAAACAGAAATATTACAATTTTTTGCTTTAAAAAAAGCTTTGGTAATTCTTTACATTAGTTGACATTGGAATTGAGACATGAAGTTTAGTCAGGTAGGTAGTACTGACCAAGTGAAGTAGTGTAGTAGTATTTACTAGAATTTTGTTTATTATTTGTTTAAAAATGAATGTGAGTGAGATACAGGCCCTTAAAGTTTTCTT